TATAAAATTTAGTATAACATAACCTATAACTTGATAATTTAATTAACCTATAAAAAAAATTACAATTTTATTGTATTAGTATGCATTTAATTCTAAAATTAAATTACTAGTGTTTTAGTATAACATAATCTAATATTAGGCATATTATACTATAACCATATAACATAACCTATAAATTGATAATTTAATTAACCTATAAAAAAAAAATTACAATTTTATTGCATTAGTATGCATTTAATTCTACAATTAAATTATTAGTGTCTCAGTAAATAAAATATAGTATAACATAACCTATAATTTCAAAAGAAAATAAAAGAACCATTAATAATTTCCAATACGAAATTTATAATTAAATTTTTAATTGATTCAATGAAATTATTAAAAAAAACAAACAAATTTAATAAAAATAAATAAGTAATGTAAAAATTGGTTATATTTTTTTCTTTTATATCTTTTCTGTAAACAGGAGCTTTCAAGGACGCCATGGGTAGTTACGATGCTTCATTTTACCTGTCAGGTAGTCTGATATTTCTATCAGCTGCCATTTGTTATCCATTGAAAAGGATCAATCAATGGGAAAAACGCAAGAATGAAGAAAAGGACAGTGAAAATTCGTTAAAATCATGATTGACAGTGATAGTGCGACATTTTACGTACGTTTTATGTTTATGTATGTGTATGTATGTATGTATGCATGTATGCATGTATGTTTATTATTCAAACGACGTTAAATTTTCATAAAACAATGTAATTACTTTTTCTTCTTTATTTAACTTAAACAAAAAAAAAAACCAAAACAAAAGAAGAAAATTTTCGACAATTTTCAAAATGAAATTCTTTTTTTATATGCATATATATATATATGTATATGTATATATAATTTTTATTTATAGACATGCACCACACGCGTTTTCAATTATACATTACACTGTTAATGATAAATTATTATAGTATAAAATGAAACAAACAACAAAAATTAAACAAAAAATTTAACCTTTTAACTTGGTGACGATGAATTTTAAGGACTATGAAAATTATGAGAATAAATCATTCAATTTTAATGAATCATTGAAAGAAATTATATCTTTGTGAATTTGTATTGTACATATTTAATATTATTTTTATTATTTACCAAAAGAAACAAAACAATTTGACGCTTTTTATAGGTTAGGGTTCTACTTTATCTTCAACGCCCCCTAGTAAAAAGGTTAAATAACAATATATATATATATATATAAATACTTGTAATAATTATTTTATATGTTAATTAATGTTATGTTATATATTTTATTAGATTATTATTATTATTATTATTATTATTATTATTATTATTATTATTTAAAATTGTATTTTAATAATGTTTTTTTTTTGGTTTAAAAAAAAATATTACAAAGATCGATTATCGATGGATTATATATATATATATATATATATATATGTGTGTGTGTGTGTGTTACGAAAAATACATATATTCATGCATTTATTATTTCAACTTGTTAAAAAGTTAATTTGTTGCATTAATTAATTAATGTACATAAATTTATACTAGTTTTTTTTAATTATTTTTTAATAGCAATAACACTTTTTTTCTGCCATTTTATTTTACTTCGTACAAAGTAAGATATTATTATTATTATTAACTATTATTAATTATTATTAATTGATATATACATACAATTCGCGTATTATTAATTAGGGCATTATGTACTTGCGTTTATGTTGTACAAATACCACCCTTCCTCCACTCCCACCCTTCCCCCACCCCCAACCTTTCCGCTTTTACGATCTATGCGACATATGCTTTTTTTTCAAGTAGAATATTGCGATTTTGTTTCTATTCAATTTTTCATTGGTTATTTTTTCTATTTTTTTTTTTTTTTTTTTTA